TAGGCCTGAATCGTGAATGTTGGTTGTGGTGATGCTCGACACCGCGCTGCGTGGTATCAGATCGCGAGACGGCCTGCCCCTGTTCCAGCGTGCGGACCACCTGAACCCTGGGGACCAAGGCCAGGAGGTCAGACAAACTACACGCCGCCGGAAAAGCGGCAAGTGCCGCTCGGGTTGGAGCATTGAGACCATTCAGAACAGTGTCCAGCACATCGCGCTCTGTGAAACCTGGGATCAAAAGGGATGATGCAGCAGAAATGCTATCCACAAACTCAGAAAGGGACTCCGAAGGCTGTTGGACCCTATATACCATTGTAGTAACCATCGCGTGTCTGATCTGCGCAGGGAGGAAAAAATCCCTAACACCTCCAACTACCTGTTCCAAACTTGCGCGATCGGCGATTCCTTTTAGCCAAAAGGTCCTTAGCTGTTCTGCAGTGCGGGGAAGAACCGCCAACAAAATGTCTTCATCAATAAACAAACCTAATTTGGTAATACCTGCCACCGAAATCAAAAAATCAGTCAACTTTGACGGTTGGGATCCTGTAGTCACAGGCAAGGCCCCGACGAGGTCATCTAGGACCTTCATCTTTCCCTGAATTGTGCGGGGTGGGGAACGACTTCCTGCCATTGCAGAAGCCACCTGTTGGCCGACGGCAATCGCTGTATCTTGGACCAACTGGGTCCACTCAACTGTAAGTGGGCGTCCGCCGTCGGCTTTCAGAATCGCGATGTCATTTGACGAAATGGTGCTGGCGTTGTCGTGCTTATTTCCAGCAGTGGAAGGCGCTAAAGGGGCCTGCGACACTGTCGCTGTCGTGGTGGTTACGCTAGGTGCCTGAGTGGTGGTTGATCCCCGAGATTGTTTTTCGTCGGTTTCAACCTGGGGAGTGGGACCTGCGTGTGTAAGATCTGGCCTGAAATTGGAGGGCAAGGGCTCAGGTCCACCGTTTAATTGTAGAGTCTTCAAAAATTCGGACAACAGGGTTCTATTTACCGATAAGGTTGGCGATGGCGAAATCCCTAGCACATGACATTGGCTTGTCGCGTCCTGAGCGTTGAGAGTGAAGACCCAGGAGGTGCCTGCTGGCAGGTCCTCGGGGGCATAAACAGTCGAAGGCATGTTCCGTACAAGGAATGTAACTAAAGTATTTACACACAAAGATTTTTTTTTTTTTTTTTTTTTTACAGAATGCTTTTATCAAAATTTGACAAATACAATCTCTTAAACAAGGGGAAAGACAGGCAACGCGCCCAACGCAGAAAATGAAATAGGCCTACATACTAAAATCGATGATCGGACTTTTTCTTTTTTCCAAACCAAAAAACGTATACGGTTTTACTAAAAATGCAAAAAATTCTATGAAAATCCTCTGGAGTGCTAAATTTGTGCTGACTGTGCAAGGGGGGAAAATATCAACTACGTAGGCAGGGGTGAAAGAGCCTTTTCTATTAAAGGAATCAACTTCTGAAAAGCGTCGCCATTGAAATGGATTCCATCACGACGCCTCGAGTTCCCATAATAGGCATGAAAAAACTGGAATTGACTGAGTTCAAGTGGAAGTTCTATTACCTTGACGAGATTTGATCGTAGGGTAAGCAAAAACCTATTTACCTGAAGCAAACGTGTCATTGCTGGCGTTACATTTCTAATCCTGGGATAATATGGCAAGGTTGTGAAAACTAGTACCATCGTGGGATAATTCAGACGTAATCTTCTTAAAAAGGACAGAAATGCATTCTTAAAGGCTACCAAGTCAGCGTCGGCCAAAAGATCATTCGTGCCTAAAAATATCAGCAAGGGCAAGTGCTCCTGCAAAACTGATCGATTTAACTTAATAAAAACCTTGAAGTCAGAAATCCTAGCTCCAGAGATACCCTTAACCAAAACTGGCTGTAAGGTTCCAGCCAATCCAGGATTTGCTTGAAAAAAATTAATAAATCTGACGGCATACGAGTCGCCCAACACTTGAAGAGTTTTAACGTTTAGTGCTTGAGACATGGCGTTGAGGTTTCTAAGGGAAAAGCCAAGCAAGGCTGACAGACACCCAATACGGAAAGAATTGTCTACAAAATCAACAAATTTAACTTCTATCTCTATTGAACCTTAGAATAATTAAGTAACTGACTAAAACAAAACAACAACCCAATAAAACCGGTGCTGGCCATAAAGAATTTCTTTCGATGTCGAGAGAAAAAAAAATTGAGTTCACGGACACTGGTGTTTTCTTTTGCACAATAATAAAGACTGAAATTAATTTATTTTGTTCCTAGGTACCCAGGCCTACAGTAAATATAAATGCCTGTAGGCTCTACCCCACAGTAGGCCTACTATACACCGTACCAAAAAAATTAAATTAGTCAGAATAAACCTATTGAAACCATTCACATTCAATTAATAATGATGCATATAAAACACTGGAATAATAAACATTAAACTATATGCACTTACTCACTAACTAACCAACAGTAATCCTATAAACTCAACTTCCCTCCTACATCTAGGCTACTGCTCTGCAGCTACCTTCGGTTGGTCCTACTGAAGGCTAGGCCTTAACGCACCATTTTACTGGGAAGCTAACCTATGGGGCTATTCCAGCTAACTAATGCACAACTACTCTGACCTTTTGTGAGTGGCAACCCAGTTGAAGCAGTAAAAGGTAAATACACTTGAACACATTAATATAAATAAGCAAGTTACAAAATACACTGAATAAATAAGACATAGTACAGTACACATATGACACTGCATTGTAATCTGGGAAAATGACAAGTTAGGCTGTATTTTGGTACAATGATACTGTATATTTATCTATAATACAAGGCACTGACACATCACTGACTCTAAGGTACTGCTTGACAGTAAGCAAGGTGGTGGCTCTATAAGAACAAACAAACTGGCTTTGTAATTTACAAGGAAAACCGCCTTACTTGAGCAAAATGCTTATTTAATTAAGTAAAATGAAAAATAGGGACTTATCTGCAATAACCTACCTTAAGACCTGCCCCATTAAATTATTTATGCCAGCATAAATGCCTCTTGACAGGCCTACAGTAAAACAAAACACTAATACACTGTATCACAGCTCCGTAGCATTGTAAACCGCAGCAGACAACATGGATTAGCTGTAAATAACATAAAACACTGGCCTAAGGCACATATCACCTGGTTGCCACACTCACAGGTCCTCTATTGACATGTTGTGAAGATATAAAAGTTGTAAAAGGAAAAAAAAAAACTGAGCCTAATTGTTTAGAAATGTGCTAGGACTAACCAATGGGGTGTCTAGCCTAAATACCTAGCAATTGCGAAAGCCATTTCAGGAAAAGCCATAAAAGCCCAAATTTAAAAAAAAACTGAGTAGGCCTAGGCTCCAATCCCATCCTAACATGATTTGGCCTAGGCCTACCTAATGAAAACTTCCAAAAGAGTGCAACTTGTAACAAAGCCGGCCAAAGCTCACTGGTCTAGGCCTAATGTCTGCTACCATATGTGGCCCTTTGGTGTGATTGATGGTGTGGAAACTGATTATGGATTCTGTGGTGATGTGATGTATTGATTGTAATTAAGTGAAAATGTGTTGGTAATTGGCTGTTGTAGGTACTAGGGCCTGGAGGACCCTAGTATGTTGCAATTAAGAACGTGCTGCACTCTACTACCATCTTGAAATGACAATTTAATTGGAAACGTTGTTGGGGAACCAGAGGGCGGAAATCTTTACCCAGACCAGAAGCAGGCCAAGCCAGCTTTGATTACTTATTTTTAACTATTTAAAAGAACTATAGCTAACCTTCCAAACTAAACTGGTAGATAGTGTAAATGGTAATGAATAAAAAACAGGTAAATATCACTCCCTAACTCATTACTGAATCAATTCGGACTCATAAGGCGATTCCTGAAAGAATTGATACTTAAGCCTTCAACGTGGTGATTTTCGCATGTCTAGGAATGATTACCTCGTTAAGCGAGGTAATCATATAATTTGGAATTTACATTTCTGCGAATGGAGCGAAAGCCTGCCGGCTTCCCCTTAAATAATTAAACTAGCCTATCATCCTGGTCTTAGCTCTACTTAATAATTAATTATAGACTCATCCTGATAAAACGAAGGCATGTCGATCTCAGTAAACGGACAATCAGAAAATCCAACGAAGGGGACGGAGGCCGGCGACAGACAAGACCGAGGAAAACTCGATTTCGTAGCTCCTTGACGTTTCTCGAAAAAAAGGCAAGCGGCAGACCGAAGGAGGCGCGCCGATCGCAAGGCCAGCGATTTAGTTGTGTGGCACTATATAAAATAGTGGCGCTGAGCGTCACAGAATGTTGTTATTATTTTTAGCTACGACCGTTTTTTAAAGTTGCCGTTTCAGTACAGTTCATAGAATTGAAAAGTATCTCATAACAGCATTGTTTACTTCATAACAGCATAGTTTTACTCATAACAACACGGGTAACGGACCAATGAGGTTCAAGGATTGAGAGGGAAGAAGTACAATATTGTAATGATTCGAACTTCAACTAATCAGCTGTTTACCAATTTAATTGTTATTGATTGGTGAAATTAGTGTTTGGTTCAATGTTTCGTTGCATCACTGTCAGTGGCAATGGGAGGTTATAAACGAAAACATAACCTCCTTTAGAAGTTATAAGTAGTGATTTTTAGTAATTAAAACACTGTGGTAGGTAAAGTAGTGTACGCAACTCGCGTAAATAGTAGTTAACACTATCTTTACGCAATCGTTGCGTAAACTACTATAAGTACTAATTACGAGTATTTTACACTATTAATGAGTCGTCTAATTTTTTATTGTACCCAATATGATTTGTTTTCAACCATGGGAACGGGAACATAAATGCTAGTTAGGACTGCTGTTGGATTAACCTTACAGTTATCATTTGTCATGATCATCATCATTATCATTTATACAAGATCTCCCTCCCCCCAATTACTTCAGATACTCGAGGTTCTACTGTATGTTTATTCTGGCTGAGCGTTTACCTGTCTAACTGCCAGCACATACTTGAGCCCCAGCAGACCTCCATGTCTGGCCTCCCAGTCTGTATTGTCCAGCAGCTGCAACAAACAACTGACTACTTTCTCTACTCGGTCCTTGTTCATCAGGTTGACCACCGAACCTGAGAAAAATAACACACTGTCAGTTGAGTTTTAAAAAATCCTGCCTTGTCCTGTCCTGACTAAAAGTAAAATCTTGTTCAACCCTACTGTAGTGTATACATAATAGTTCACTCAATATAAAACCATTAAAAACTTTTATATTGGATGAAATGAAATTATTCTAATGTTACTTGACTGTTGAAAGGATATTTTTATCCAGAATCTCAATTGGAATAGAATAAATCTGAATGACAAACCTCTGAGTTACTGAGATCACTCACCAAGTGTCTGGGCGCAAGTCTCCCTGACTGGCGCCACCACCTGGTCAGATACAAAGTCTCCAAACCTGTCCAGGGCCAGGACACAGAGCAGCCTCAGTGACACATCCTCCAGGAACAGCTGATGGTACTCCTGCATCTGTCAAACAACAAGTGCCAGACTATGTAACACAATCCTTTATTTGAGGAAGATTTATAGGACTTGGAAAATGGACTGGGAAATAGGACTTGGAAAACTACTTTTTCCAGAAAAATGTTTGAAAATATCCAAAACAGAGATATTGATCAATCATTTTCCAAGAACTTAAACTCACACAATTGAGGGTGAACAAGTTAAAATTCAATTACATTATATGACAACTAGGTTTTACATACCTTGTTTATCGGACATGCACTTCTAATTAGGATCATGTATGAACAATGTTAATAGAAAGATGTACTATGTTGTTTCGTTCCAGCCTAAAATCAGCCAATTCAATGGTCAAGATTTCATAACCATGAAAATATTTCCAAGTTGTCAATTTGTGATTTTAGTGTTATAGTAAAAAATAAGTACAAAAACAGATTACAGATAAAGTGATCAACTATAATGAAGGATTATTTGGTCCGGCAACCAAGGATAAAAAAATTTAATTTCTAAACCACAGAGAGGGATTTACAAATTCACATTACTAATTTATAAAGAGTAACTATAAAGGTACATCAGTGCAAGTAGTTTTCGTTATCATATATGACTTGGTAACCCACCAGACTAGCAGGGATGTCCTGGCTCTTGCCTGCCCCACGACCGTGTATCTTGACTAGTTCTCTGAGCGCTGTCGCTGCGCCATGTCTCGTCTCCCACCTTGTACTGAACAACTCGGCACACAGAGAATCACAGAGGCCTTCTAGAGGCCAGTCTACAGCCTAAATGTACAATCAGAGATACATAACCATTAAAACTTATATTTAGCCTACTATTAAAAAGAATTTATTACATTTTAAACCTAAAAGTTGATGATGGTTAACTTTGACTGCTTTGTTGAGAATTTTCATTAGAAACTCTGCCTTCCTGTGTAGTAGAGTGGTATAGGAAGGAGTTTGAAAGTTTTCAGCTCGATCTTGATATACCATGTACCCCTTTGTTAATTAATTTTCCCTTCTTAATCACAGGTTAGACAGTTAATAGTAGTTTAACTATTCACTTGCTAATATTTTTCAAGGCAAAAGATTTTTAAAGTCTCAAAACTAATAAACTCTTTCAAAATGTATGTAAAACATAAATTAATTTACATTAGCTAACAATATAAATCAATGACATTCTTAAGGCATTTTCACAAAGTAGAGTAGGATGGTGGGTTAAAAAGTGAATTGGTGTTCTTTTACTTTGACAGAGTAAACCAATGTTCAAGTTGAATAAAAAAGGCCAAACTTGACAACATTCTCCAAGACAACACATTCTTTGCACATGAGATAACCTAATATCAGGCAGGTCGAGCTGCTGTCTTTGAGCAACCAATCTACTTTCCTGTGCATTCGCATTTCTCCACCATTTGTTTGGTAGGACTGACCATGAGTAGGGGCATAAATCTACATGACCGTAATCCTACTTACAAACTGCTTATAGTATAGAAATCCTGAAACTGTACACCATATTTGGTCAGTTTGGCATTTCCTTATTTCTTTCATGCAAATTGTTTAAACCAGGAATTAACCAAGTATTTATTTATTCAGACCGGGTTTTATGGAACTCATTGAAAATTCTTTCAAATATAACAGGGTTACTGTACTTAAATCTGAAAAGTTAAAATTAGGATGAAACTGTGAATTAAAAAACCATTGAACAATGAAGATACAATAAGGTTTTTGTTAGTGGTTCACTTCATTCTGTTAAATGGCGGATTTCACCTGTTACCAATTTACTACCCATTTCATTTCTTCAACCTACATCCGTTCCCCAAGCTCCTGTGTTGTCCGGCACAGGTTCACTCCCAATACTTTCATCCCCTCCCTCCTCCAGCTTCACTTTCTTGGCCGCTGACCCTTCGTTCTCCTCTTCAGGCTGCTGTTGTGTTTTCTCCCGAGTAGAGGTCTGACGAGCTATTCTCTTCGCTCGGTTTCGTTCTCGACAACTCAACCCTTCTGACACCACTTTCGTGAGGCTCATCTTAATAAAAAGGGGAAACAAATTTATTTTGTTGATGGTAGAATTTCAAACAGATATTTTATTGAAAATATTTTTTTCTTTAGATGAAGAATTTTTGTGTCTACTTCAGGTAAACGTTTGACTACTAATTTAATATTTAAGTAATGAATACCAAAAATATTATTTCTACAAATTGAATGTTTTTAATTGCAGATGCACTATTCTTCAATAAAGTAATTAAAAACAAAAAACCATCTAATGAGTGTAGAAGGATTAGGATGAATTTAGCAACCATATCAACAACTAACACAACTTTTCAGCAACCATTAACAAAACCTAAACATGTGGCAATAAGTAAAGAAAGCTGAGTTCAATATTTTTGTTGTGTGTTTTTTGTGTTTTCACGCCAGTGGCATTTTTTATGTTTTGAAAGGGAACGGTCCAAACCCTTGTTAAAATTGCCTTGTTAAAGCATAATGAATTTGTAAGAAAGGTAACAGGATCTCAGCGTCTTATAGAGATATTAGAAAAATACAAAAGCATACCAGACACAGCTCATTGTGAGAGAAATTGTAAGTTAAAGTTGGTAATTTCCACCTAAGATGATTATTTGTGAGTCAAACTACGAATTTAAGACAGTTTTCGCCACTTCATCCCTACTCCAAGTGAGATATTACCTTCTGAGGTTGTGAGTTCTGTCTGACAGGCTTGGACGGTCTAAGGTCCTCGGGTGAGATGACAGAACAGTCCAGTTTCACTGGGAGTCCCATCTCTTGCATCAACTGAGAATGCATCTGCTCTGGTCCTAATAAACATTACAATATAGTATAAACGTTTAACATATCTGAGCGACTATTTTCTTTCAAGATATTTTTTATTGTTTTTATTTTGGTGTTTATCTATGTCATTTAAAGTTTTTTGTAACAGGACGGTCCTGTCACAATAACAAAGGGTGTCTGAGTCTGGTAAAGATCTCGCTTAAATTGAACCAGCAACGTCAGTTTTTAAGGCATTGGCAAGCTCTATAACGACTCGGCACCCAGACAATCTTGCAGTCAGAGTAACTTGTGAATTGTGATCATTATTTACTCATCATTAACTCCACAACTACATTGTTTTTTTTGTTTTTTTCTAAGTAAATATATATATATGTATTTTTTTTTAATATAGTTAATTTGTTATTGTAAAGATCTTGTCTATTTACAGGATGAAATAACTATACATCCAACAATAAATCTCTGAACATTTTAACTAGAAAATTTCAAATCATTTGTACTACTCAAAAAGAGAAGTTGATAGAACCAATCAAAACCTAACAACTAAAATTTGAATTCCGCCAAAAACCCTGATTTCTATGTCATAAATATGCTTTTTATCATAATTTTATATTTAAAAGAGATTTTAACATTGGTTTTCCATGAATTCCACCTTTAAAGTGCTAGAAGGAGCATGGCCTTTTTTTCTTATGATCAAATCAAATTATTTTGTTATTCAATATACATAAAATAACATGTAATGAATAGAGTCAAATAGGCTATGAATACATATAACTACCGGTACATATTACAAAGTGCTTAAAGTACATTAAGATTTACTTCTAAAATAATAAATAAATAATAACTTTTAAAAAGTGAAGAATTTCTAACTGAATATTTAAAAAAAATATATAACATTATTGCAATCACAATAACATGGGCAGTTAATATAATAAAAAACGTACATCCATTTTCCGGGCTCAATTAAAAATAAACAAACAAAATCATTATACACTATCCCAGTCTGGTGGAAGTCAATATTCACATCAATACTCACATTGCTACGAACTCACCAATCACATTATCTTCCTCGGTATCATACTCCTTGCCCTCCGATCCCATGAGGTAAGCGCTCTTGCTGACTACATTTTTCAGATCAAAAGACGAATACGTCAACCTCCCTGATTGAACCACAGCTTGCAATGGATCAGCATTTTCTGGAAATAAATAGTTTAGTCAACAAACATCGTTTAACACTAAACAAGAGTAGCTTAGGTTTACACATGAACCACCAGACAAATCGTCTCAAATTTAATACTAGGTATTTAGTAGCCTAAAGGTATCTTTAGGAGCAAACCTTGAAAGTTTTTTCCCTCTTACCACTGTTACTGTCTAATGTGCCCGCGGGGTCCCACTGAGGCACATTGTCCAGCACCGCTGTCACAGCTTGACCCGCCGCTATCCTGGTGTCCCATGCTGAGGAGCGCAACAGCCCCGTGATGCGGCCCAGCAGTGTGTGCAACTCATGTGGGTGAAGTCGTTGGACCTACATAAATCAACACTAATTACCACAAACGTAACAACATTTTGACTAAATTATTTTTCAAGGAAAATACTTTTATTGAGGAATTGTCTATCGGGATTGGGACATCTCATAAATAATTTATTAAAGATTTCAAAATATTCAGATTTCAATTAATTGTGACGGCTCATGTTTACTTTCTCCCACAACACATGGGGAAAATTTTGTTGACCGTATGTCAAAATTTTTTAGTTTGAGTTTTGGATGGTAATGTCCGTTTTGGGTCCCCCTGAACTCCAAAAATTGATTTTCGAAGTAATGTCTGTCCTTGTGTGTGTGTGTGTGTGTGTACAGAGCTACAAACTACACTTGTGGTCCTATTTTGATGAAATTTGATGTGTGGGACTAATCAATAGTATCTCTAGGCGTGATTAAATTTTTTTATTTTTATTTAATGGTGATTTTCCCATAAAATAACAAACCAGATCTTTACAAAAACAGCATGAGTTATTTTGATTAAAATTGGGTATATTATGGTCCTTGTAACTCTACACCAAATGGCACGACCCCCAATAGGCCTACTGCAAAAATTTTTGTTCAAAAGTTATTGCAACTTTTGTGATTTAACCCATAAAACGACATAGTGACTCCCACCGCTTACTAATGATAAGGGTTGTTGTTGTTGACAAACTAATGAGAAAAAGGATGTGTCAGATTGCTCATACTGCTTCTTAGCAAAATTGTAAAAATTAGGCCAAAACACTTCTATAACCTGTTCTGTAAGTAAACATGAAATGCGACAAACAATGAATCCAGCAAGGATTTGAGGTTGAACTTAATATCATATTTTCCTGCTACAGTATTGACAGTCTTTATCATTATCGCCTACAGTTTTTCCAACCTGATATCATGATTTAGTTACTCGCCTCTCCAAGTTGAGCTGCAGCTGCGCGGCGAGTCACTCCTGATGATCCAGTCTCTAGCAGAACAAACAGACGATCTAGCCTAGAACAGAGACGTTCAGAACTGTTAGAATCCAACAGTTCTCAATATACAACCTGTCTCCTCTCTTCACTCCCTCTCAACATTTTTCCCATAAAACACAAAAACTGTTGTATAGAAACAATTGGGAAAAATTTACTAACTCAAGCAGGTTAATAAACACAACATAGAGGTGAAAGAATAGCAATTACATTTTTTATCAATACTATTTTTTACAGGCCCCAGGACTTTGTTCTGTCGCCAATCAAATTCTGTAAGATATTATGAAAGTTTCCAGTCACCTAGTACAGTAGAGTCCCGCAAAGTCGGGGTAATGTGGACTGGAAGGGTACCGAGTTTGTGAAATGCCGGGTTATCGGAAACTAGGGTTAAAAATAAAAACAATAAAATTTTTAAGCCTTTTACTTGCCTTCTATATTTACATTTATAATACAAGTCAGTATTAAGTCATCAGATATAGTACAACAAATCCTTTTTACGAGTTTACGAATGATATGACTTGAGCTGGCTTGAGTCCATGTTGAACTCGGAATCAAAAAATCACTAATTTTCTGAGCTAGGTAATGGCCGAGTTATCCAGACTGCCGGGTTATCGAGTGCCGAGTTTGCGGGACTCTACTGTAGTCAGAATTTTAAAATTTCATTTTAAGGCCACAATCTAAAATTTAAAATTAAACCATTTTGCATGTGTTTGACTACTATACGTTATATAAACAATTTGAGGAAAATATTTTTTGCTGAACGATATTTTTGAGAATGCGGTTAAAGGATCAACAATCAATAATTTAGTTGCTTAAAAGCACTAAATGAGACGGAATACCACTTAAATACAGAGACTAGTGATTTGACTGAGTTGATTTAAATTTATTTGCGGATTGATATAAAAGTAAGAATATTAATAAAGTTTCTCATGTAAAAGTCAATCTTCAAAACACTACAGGACATGACAACTTATTTACCAAACATAATTAATAGTTTTAAAAAATTGTCCTTAAATAAGTAAAACATCAGTGTATTTTGTACCAAGAATAATAAATCAGTCATATATTTAACCAATGGACGTTATAGTAGTTTACGCAATGATCACGAAAAGATAGTGTTAACGACACAAGTAGAAATTTAAGGTACGAGCCTTGGCGACTGCCTTAAAAACTCCTACGAGTGAGACTATTTATTTACGCGAGTTGCGTACTCTACTTTACCTACGACGGTTTAATTACTAACAATCACTACACATAACTTCTAAGAGAGGTTATGTTTTCGTTTCTAGCCCCTCATTGCCACTGAAAGTGGTGCAATGAACCATTGTACCAAACACTATTGCACGACTTATTAGCAATTAAATTGGCCTAAACAGCTGATTAGTTGAAGTTTTAAGCATTACAATTTCACTTCTCTTCTCTCAGTCCTTGAACCTCATTGGTTACCCGTGTTGTTGTGTAAAAAAAAAATGCTGTTAAGTAAGTAAACAATGCTGTTAAGTGAATCTTTTTAAGTCTAAGAACTGAACTAAAACGGCTAGTTAAAAAAACGGTCGTGGGTAAAAAAAAAGAAAGTAAATTAAGTTGATAGGAGTAATTACAAACATAGGTAATTCTGTAAAACAAGTTTTGCAATAATCATTTTCATAACACATGTATCATGCTACATATCAAACAGCCTAATTATTGAGGCCTTGATCTAATTTTAAACCTAAAATTATTGGATACTGAATTAAACATCCCATCTATATGAACCATACATTGCCAATTTGTTATTAAAAAGAAAATAGCCGTGTGAGCCAGTCACAGAATGCTCTAGTGCCCATGGGCGTCCATCTGACTTTACTATGGAGGGGGGGGGGGGGGTACGGAATGAACCCCAGTAAAAAGGGTGGTCTTAGAAGTAGGCTACTTGAGAAAAAGAATTAAAATTTAGATTTAAAATGTTTGCTTTTGCACTTGTTTGAACCTAAATTTGCTTTGATTTTTCAATATTTGAACTAGAGGACCCATGGTGCTCCTCAGCGTTAAAATAAATATCATTTCCGAGGAATAATCAAATTTATGATTTTGGTTGAGTATCTTGAACTTAACTGATTCAAACTATCAATAGCTCAAACTAAAGCCTATAATTTACTGATTATTTTAAGTCTAAAACATATTAAAAACAAAAAATTGATTTATTATCCTACAAAAACCTTATTAAAATAATGTTTATGTTGGTTGTTCACCTTGCGTTTGTTTGAAACCCGTCCGATTAGAATAACTTATAGCTTAAATGAAAGAAGGTATTTCACTGAAGGTTCTTAGACCAAAATATATAGGATTATATCAAATTACAACTGGTCAAAAACATATTAAATTGAAGTAAGAATTTGATCAAATTTCAATCAAATTTATGTTTTTTGGTCAAGTAATACAGTACTATCGGCAGTAAATAAACAGTAACTATCGTCATCGGCAGTAAATAAATATATGCCGATGCTTGATGTGAAATTTGTGCATGCATACCTTGAATTTGAGACCTCAATCTTGAAAATCCCCGGTTGGGTAGAAGAGCCAAACGAACTCGGAAAATAAAAACCAAATTTTTTATATATATAAAATACTTACTACTTTAGCCACTAGCTAATGAGAATCGTTTAGCTGTTATATTTTACTCCACAATATGAAAGAAATCGGTTGTTTTTGTCAGAACTCCTAGACAAACTCTTGCAAAGAAAGACTCTTGCCCATATAGATGGGCACCCATGCTAAGTGTCTAAACTTCTATTTTCTAACTTATTTTTTGTTGCTGACATAGTCAATGGGTTCAGTTGCTACAGCTCACAATAAGTCATTCCATTAGTTTGACTTAAAAAAGTGTGTATATACAACAAAAATCAGTGACTTACATCAGCACCATCTGTCAGAACAACCACATAAACTATGATAACTTTAATTTAAAAACTGGTAACAGCTATTAACATGGATGGAACGTCTAGAAAATAAATATCATATCGTATCAATAGTCAAAGCTAAAACAAGGATGATCACCTTGCTTCAAATGCAATTAAGAAAAAAACTGGAAATCGAATAATGAGGAAGATTTATTTTCAAAGTTAAAGTTTTAAAATAATAATATGCCTCCACATTATAAAAAAATCACTAAGTTCAGAAAAATGTTAGCCTATCCTATTGGGAAGTTTTGTAAATTGTTAAACAATTATAAAAATAAGAAAAACAAACGTGTACATCTCCAAAATTACATCCAGGCGTAATTTATATTTTTAAAAGTTATGCAGAGACAAGTAAGAACACATTTTGAAGGAAACCTTCTTAAGTTCAGCCAAATAACATAGCATTAACAGTTGAAAATTCATGTTAATAATCTACAACCCTTTCCCAGCCTCTAATGATTCAATGATTGTGTAGGCTATTGAACTAGGAGTAGAAAGTTCTGCTGATAACAGCAGGAATAACCCCAAGTCTGCATCTTGCTTGAATCGCTTTTTGTGTACCTGCTCTAAGGTATATTTTAGAAAACTTACCTTGAAGTCATTCTGATTCTTTTGTTTTACTTTATAATATCCCTTCCATTGAACACAATATTGATGATTCTTTTTATTTTTCCATTCTATTGAACATTCACTGAAACAAAATAACAAGAGATTATCAGTTGCTGCAATGTTATTAGGCCTATTACAAACATATTGTAAAGTTGGGTATTAAGGTACCTATGTCATTTCATTACAAAAATTGTAAACCAGAAGAGAATAGTGAGAAGGAAATGGTTAGAAGAAAATAAAAATAGTGTTAAGCCCTTTCAAATACCAAATAACCCACAAACAAATTAAAAAAAAAAAAAAAAATTGTAAAAATTGTATTGTAAAATATTTGTTAAATCTGTGTTAAAACTCGATCAATAAATAACACTCAAAAACTATTGTAGCCTGTAGGAAAAAATTCTATAACTTTAGGGAAAATGTGTTTTACAAGCCACAAACTTAAACTTTTTGTTTAAACAACAGAACATAATGTGTAAAATAACGTCCCATCTATATACTTAATGCAATAAGAGGATTCCCTGTAACATCCTTTTTCAGCTATTAGTCCAGGCGCTAAACGGGTTGAGTATGCACTGAAAGTCTGACAAAATTTGACTTTTGATTATTGTTGGGGACATCTAGTAGATGAAAAAAATCGATGATGTCGCATTTCTAGGGTGGTCACAACTCGGGGGGGAGGGGGGAAGTTGCGCGGGTCATCGGTTTACGTTTCCGCGTCTAACTCACAAACGGTTAATGATAGAAAGGTGAATTAAGCGTCTATCTACGCCTAAATATATTGTCCTTCAAAAAGGTTATTACAACCTTTCTTCTATCTCTTATACTTTAGGCGCTAATCAACATTTATTGCAAAAAATAAAATTTAAAAATACTTTAAAATGAAATATTGGAAATATTGCGCTTATTTAGGGCATGTTACAAACTATTTATGGTTAGAAAAACTAACAAGTAGTACAACAGCACCAAGTTTAAAGAAATATGTGCAAAAACAACAGAGCTACGTTGATTTCAGTAAGAGTAAACGTGGAAAATTCGTAGTAGTATCGAGGCGCGCATGGATGGTACGTAGCCCACAGTCAATATAGGTTTGATGTTGTAAGTAACTATGGGAAAGCTGAATTTTTCTATGCTGTTAGACCATGTTGAGATGATCATTTTCCAAAAAGTCCCCACTCCTACCCTCTTGTGCTTTCCTCTACCCCCCCCCCCCCCCCCCCGCCATTTTTAGATAAATTTACAGCCTCTTAGCAATTAAGCTATAACTTTAAAACGGGTAAGGATAGTAACGCAATCTTTAATTAATCATTTTGCGTTACGATATTCTACAAAAAGTGTATTTACCACGGTATCCTAAATATTCATAGTTAAAAAATATCATAAACATAAAAAAGTAATTTTTATGGATTAATTTATGAAACTTTTCTTTGTAGATTTTTTATACGAGGTCGCACAACAAAATGTTTGATACAAAATTAGGGGTGCATAGTTTACATTTTAAAATGATACATAGTTATTAACAGTTTGTTTGCATATAGTGGTTATAGATAGTACAGTAAATTGATTTTACAGGACTCTGGCTTTTTTGTGCACCGCAACGATGAAAAAAATTACGTATATTATGGTTTTTGTATTTGAATTTGCCACTTTATATAGATTATGTTAACATTATGTAGCTCATTCAGTACATATACAGACTATAGTGGATACATATGAATGAATATCGTGCATTTGCTGCTGTACGCCAGAGCCTCATTTTATTATACAGGGTGTCTCACCTAAAGTGAACCAATAGATAACTTTTTTATTATGAGATATAGAGTTAACTTCTTATGGGACACTACCCTTTATTTTAAGATGTGTTTTTAGTGGTTTCGAATTTTAAAAATATGTTCGCCATTTTCCAATATGGCTGACAACTTTGTTAGTCCTATAGAATACCCTGTATTTTATGATTGTTTTAGAATGTAAACACTCAATTTTTAAACCTTTTTATTCTTGACATTTTTCTCTAAAGCTACTTGTTTAGGAGTTACATCGAAGAAGAAATGGTTTGTGAGTACATCCTGCATCCTGTAGCTCATAAACGAGTAAGTTTAAGAGCGAAAATACAAAGAATAAACAAGTTTTCAAATCACATCTACATAAAAAAACCATAAAATAAATTGTCCCAATATCAAAGTAAGCTACCATTTTTGAAAATAGTGACCATTTTCAAAAACAACAAAATCAGTATTTTTTAACGTATTATATATAATTTTTTTAACGAGGACTTATATGTGACTTATTTATTCTTTGCACTTTCTCTCTCAACTTACTCGTTTATGAGCTACAGGATGCCGAATGTACACCACAAGCCTTTCTTTTAGATATAACAGGCTGTAACTCCTAAATGGGGTAGGTTTAGAGAAAAAATGTCACGAAGAAAAAAATAGCTTTTAAATTCTAAAAGAATACTAAAATACAGCGTATTCCATAAGAAATAACAAAGTTGGTGGCCATATAGGAAAATGGTGGATATATTTTTTTTATTCGTAATCATCCCTAAAAACATTTTTTACAAATAAAGGGGGTCGTCTAATAAAAAGTTAACTCTATATGGAAAATAAAATTTATGTATGTTCACTATGTAATCTCAACCGGGATGAAACGTGTACCCTTTTATAGCAGAATGTCCAATTTTAAAAAAAGATACGTCAATTTTGGTCCAACAAGTTATATTTAAATGAATATGAGTTTTTTTTTTTAATTTTTAAATGGCAAAGATTGGCGGGCACTTGGAAATTATCTTAAAGAGGCGTGGAGTAAAGGGTGGGAATTGATAATGGAGTATAATTATTAAATTTAAGAATTAAGATATCAATACAAAAATGGGAAAAATCTATGTAATTTAAAAAAATTATAAAATATTGTTTGTTAAGTATCTATCAAAGTAATTATAAAAGTAACAGGTTTGTTTTATGAATTATTAACTGTTTGTAGGAAAAATTCAGATTCTCAGTAGGCTACATTTAAATTGTATTATTCATTCAATTGTTATCTGATCTGTATTAGTATGTAGTGCTATTTGTGTATATTCTGTAGTTGAAATCAGTTTATTTTTTGAATAATTGTATGTGATTCATGGAATTTTTTTCAACTGTTTTAAAATATTTTAAAATCAGTGTGTCTAACACAAAACAGACGGTCTTCGACCATTGTTCTTTGCATTTAAATAAAAAAAACACTGTATTGATATTTTATTACAATGAACAAATTTTCTTCTTCTTCTTCTTCAGAAATCCATAATAATTCTTTTTAAATATTTATTTATCTCATAATTCTTTTTGTAGATTATCGTAACGCAAAATGATTAATTAAAGATTGCATTATTATCCTTACCCGTTTTAAAGTTATAGCTTAATTGCTAAGAGGCTGTAAATTTATCTAAAAAGGGGTGTTAAAAGGAAAGCACAAGGGGGGAGGAGTGTTGACTTTTGGGAAAATTATCATCTCAACATGGTCTAACAGCATAGAAAAATTCAGCTTTCCCATAGTTACTTACAAGACATTGTTGTTGATCCTGAACTTCCTATTAACACTTCAGTTGTGGATCTAAACCAATCAGCTTTTTTAGGTTTTCCCGAACAGGAGAACCAAATAGGCTAGTTAACAATAAAACTAGGCCTATCTCTTTGTGTGTTATGCAGCAGAATATACAGTGCCTAAGTAATAAACTAAATGAAATAGAAGTAATTGTAGAGAACTCTGATTTCAATGTGTTATGCCTATGTGAACATTGGCTATTATCTAGTCAACTTGATTTGGTAAAAATTTGCGGTTTTACCCTAATGGCGGCCTTTTGCCGAACTACACATAGGCATGGAGGTACGTGTATCTACATATCCAATTCTTTATCTCCTTTTTTCTCCACTCTTGATGTAAACGGTTTCTGTGATGAGCTTAACTTTGAAGTTTCAGCAGCAATATCAACTGACCTAAAAATAGTTATAATGTCCGTATATCGTTCACCTGATGGTATTCTATCACAGTTCCTAGATAAACTTGAGGAATTGCTTCAAACCTTTCTTTCAACTAAGCCGGACTACAAGTATATCTTAGCAGGAGACCTAAATATTGATGTCGGTTCAAAAAAAGCAGACGACTGGGCTCTACAAAACACTCTGCGTGCTTTTAACTTATTCTGTTCCAACTTTGAGCCAACAAGGGGTGTGAGGTGCCTCGACAACATTGCAGTTAACTTTCAGAGGAGCGACTTCGCTGTCTGCGTTGGAAACTTTGCCTTGTCAGACCATTTAGCAGTTTGCCTTAAGGTGGCAATTCTACAACTTGTAAAACCTACGACGGAATACCAAGTAAAGAGGAATTATAGTCCTGTTAACCAAGCAAAATTTATCTCTACTGTTGGTAATATTGACTGGCCAGGCCTGGTATCAGATGGCAGGCATATCAGCAACAATCTTTTCACCATCCTGTTTGATCAGCTCCAATCAACTATCAATGATTGTTTCCCTCTCAAAAAAAACCTTACCAAATTATCAGAGTAAAAAACCTAGACGAAAAAATCGTTGGTTTACAGCAGAGCTTCAAGTCCAGCGTGACTTAGTCCTAACAGCTTTTGATGCCTATAAAACATCTAACTCACAGATTGATAGGGAAACCTATGTGACCCTAAAAAGGACTTATAAAAAATCTCTTGCAACAGCCAAGCTCAACGCCAATGTAATAGAAATCGAATCTGCAACCAACAAATGCAAAGCTGCCTGGTCCATCATCCGTGGTAATATGGAGAAGCCAAACACCAACCCCCTACGATACATATCTCCACAAGACTTCAGTGATTTCTTCGCGTCATCTGTGGAACAGACAGCGGCACTGGTGACACCTTCGATTGCTGCTTCCACTACACTACTTGAGAATACACCAGCTTCTCCATCATCCTTCAAGTTCAGTGCAGTGTCTTGTGAGGAAGTATATAGTGTTGTGCATAATATGAAATCGTCTTTCAGCACAGATGCATATGGTATGTCCTCTAACCTTCTAAAGCTTATTATAGTGTATATATTGTTGCCACTCACTGCAAGT